CGATGACATTGAGTTTTATGACATGATCAAGTAAGTCGTTGATTTTGACTAAGTTCTGAGTTATATATTTTGGTCTCATCCGATTGGTTCTAGCTTCGACAAGTTTGATTTGGTTGGAAACTACAACTCCATAAAGCTGTACACCCGACCCGTTGGTTGTTTTTGTTTTTTGTTTTTGATCTTTTTTGTTGTTTTGTTGCATTTGGTTTGGGGGTTTTTTTGCGACGCTGTTGTTTTGCCGTGGAGGGGAGAAGAACCAACCCGACTGAACTGTTATGTGACACCACTCTTTTGTTTTTCCTCAACCACCAGGGAAGAAACAGCAAGTAGCCCTCGCCATTTTAATATGAAACGAGTGACGTAAGCAGTTATCAAACCGGCAGAAAGACGGTTTACTGTGGCCGATTTGACGGATTCGTTCCACCGGCAAAAGAGCGGCGTAAAAAAAAACAACCCGGAACGGGTCGCGTCTACTATGGCTTCAGCCTTAGACATATTAAATGGTATATTATTATGTTTCAAACTAGAGTACCTGTTTCTCGGGAGAGGTGAAAGAAGAACGGAGAAATACAGAAACATCACACAGACGCTGCACCAACAAAACAAACAGGTATAGAACATATCATGTAGGTGCTGTTTCATTGAGACAGAATCTCAAGCGCTGCTGCCATGAAAGCAGCCTCTTGGAGTCTTAAACAGATTTTGGAGATTTGAACAAGGAATAATATTATCTTGACTGTCCTTCCTTGAAATGCTCAAACACACAACTCTGGAAGTTCCAGAGCACATTCTTAAGTTAGACTTTTTTTTAACAGCCGTAGCAGTTGAAAGCTGTGACTCTCAAATCATGAGAGAAGGATTTAGAGAAGGAGGCAGAGGGTGGTGGTAACCCAGGTATCAATCTAGCAGCAAGGTATTCACTTCCCCACCCCTTCCCCATTCCTGAACCTAACCTTCCATTTTGCTGCCTCTAGAATCTATTACTACAATCTAACAATGCTTAATATGCTAGAGAGCCTTGAAAGTTACCTTAAACAGTATCCCGAGTTATTCTAGAAGGAGCTCTGGTACACGGGCAAAAAATTGCATCACTTCCTCCCGCTGTCCTCCCCGGTGCCCCACTCCTTCCCACAACAGGACTCCATCTTCCCCGGCGTCTGTTTTGACGTATTATTTCGTGATTTTTTTTTAAACCACTGTTGGATATAACATTTTCAGTCTATATTGTAGATAGGTCTTCTCTTATTTCTCGCTGTTTCTCTGTTTCCCTATAGCATAATCATCATCAGGTTCGTTTTTATCTTTCTGTTTGCTTAATCAGGGTTTAAGGGCCTACTTTATCTGATCTTTTAAACGGTGTCCATTGGAGGGTTCGATTCAGTTCGGTTTGGTACGGTTTCTGGCAGCTTCAGTGCACACGTTAAATAGACCAACTTCCCAAATCGATCGACCGACGCGCGCCTTGAAAAAAATTACTTTTGTTATTAAAGGTCATTATCAGTTTTGTGGGGTTTGTCCCTCCCGTGGCTAGCCCCAAACCGACAAAACAGACAAAACCGAACCGAACTGAACCGATGATGCCACTGGGCACCGCCTTTTAGAAAGCATACTGTGTATCACCTCATTAAAAACCCAAATTCCAATCCTCAACCCCCTCCCCTTCCACCCCCCCCCCTGCACAGGGTGTACTGTTGTATGGCCGTGTCGTCAGTGTTCATGGGGCGTGCTGTGGGGTTTGTACCAGATCTCGTCAAGGCGTGGGACGCTGCCAGACATATCCTGACCCTGGCAGATGAGTCACCGGTCACAAGGTATCAGAGTGGACTGGAACCAAGCAGTGTAAGTGGAACAGATCGGCTACTTGTCAAAGTAGCGTAGACACCCATCCTGTTTATATAATTATGTTTCTAAAGGTAATGCTGTTGTGGACTGGTCTTTCTGAAGTGGTGCCAGTTTGACCTTATGTGCTTCAACTTACGCAAAACAAAAATCATCGCTTTTTTTAAAATCTGGTCAGTCTGGCCCTATTCCTAGTTTTAGTTTGAATAAGAGTTTTACGGCAGTAGCAACTCAGCGGGGTCATATATGTGCCGATAAATATAGGTGTTACAAGAGAATAATATTAGGTGATATAGATAAGAAGGAGGCAAGATTTTTTAAAGCTTTAGACGGCGCTTGCAACTGCATAAGGTCATATGAGCGCGCGGCACACACCAAATATTTTCAGTTGGTAGGAAATTTTGAACTTTGCCCGGGTGGCCGCCGAAGCCTACTCTTACCGATTTTAGACCACCAAGGGATCTTTAACGTGCGCAACTTGCACCCCGGACTTCCAAGATTTTTCGCCCTTGTCCGAGAAGGCAAGGTGTAAATCTTTCCTACCAGAAAATCAGGGGCGTGGCTGAAAGACAACAGTAAGAAGGAGCCAAGAAGTAACAGTAGAAAGGCTGCAGAAAGAGTCATGAGCCAGAGGAGGGGGGAAAGGAGGTGAGGGGGTGGGGGCAGAAAGAGGAGACGAAAGCAGACAGAACATTGCTAAAGCTGTCCCCGCGGTTTTATGCACCCCGCATAATTTAGCAAAACATTTTTTGCATAATTTCCGATTATATTCCTTCATCATTCTTTGTTAAAATTAACAGAATCGCATGATTTCACATTTTTGGGCTCAGTTTGCATAATTCATTGGTGGGGGGGGGGGGGGCATAAAACCACGGGGACAGCTAGACAGCAGGGCAGGATGTGAAAGGACACAATTCTAGAGAAAAAAATGTTTCCGTTGATACTCGGATTCGAACCCAGGACCTTTGAATGAAAGGCGAACACATTAACCTCTAGGCCACGAGAGCCCCCGGAGGCAAGATAAGGAAGATAAGGACGACAGATGCTTGATAGGAAATAAGGTGCAAACCACACCAGCTGAGCTACCGCCAACCACCTACACTCTTGTTCTACTAGAAAATACTTAATTAAGTAATTTTTAAGTACTCTGCGGTGAACATATTATTTGGAAACGTGTATTTGGCCTTATAATATACAATGTCTAATGTCATTATGTCAATATACAAACGCAGAAAACTGCAGAAGCTCGTGATCCGATTTCAGTAAGTACTTACAGAGGTAAAAAAGCTACATGCATTCTAAGCACTACTACCCTTGTTGATAATCTCTCCAAAAGTTTTCAAAGTCATGTCTCGGCGGTTTTTTGGGGGCTGTTTTTTGTTTTGTTTTGCTTTTTGGGTTTTTTGTTTTGTTTTTTGTTTTTGCTTTCGATTGGCTAAAAACACTAAGTGCTTTAGAACCACATTATGAATATGCCAAACCTTGTAACCTGGTTTGACGTCCTAAATTCGGTGAAACCAGCGTGCCAAGACTTTACTGTAAGTACCAAGATTTGATATGTCGTAGGCCTACTAAGAACAAACAGAAAAAATAGTTATATTTAAAGTCCCAAAAACTGAAGAAAAAAAATCTATTGTAATCCAAGCTCTTATAGCTTCGGTAGCTTATTCATAACACCGGAGATGATAAATAATAACTAATTTCCTTGAGGAGAATGACTTGGGCTGTCCTTCTAGGCTCCTGCCACTCGTCATCGAGCCACAAGACATGAACAATCATACAGTAAGCATGTCGTTCCGTTCAGGGAATCACTTAGAATGTCGCAACCACCTGCAACCCGTTAATGTCACTGCGACAGTCACACTTAAAATTTATACAAGCTTTTTTACCACTGGGTAAGTTCATGAATTACCACACATGCTTTTTTAAATGTTTATCGTCATTATAATGCGTCATGAAAATCTATTGTTCTTGTTGTTCTTCTTCTTTAATGTGGTCTTCAGTTGATTTTCTACGAATTATTTACTTATTGTTTAAAAAGTCTCTAATGAAAGAAGATAATTATTTTCAAAACCCAGGTAGATCTACTCAATTACTAATTAATCCTAATTCGTTTTTCTTTTCTTTTTTTTTTTGCCCAGGAGACTGCCAGACGGCCAATTCGCTTTTCTAAAGTGTCTTTCAAATATCCTATGCGTCCGGAAGTGATGGTTTTGAATGACCTCAACCTGACAGTATCAACGGGTCAGACACTGGCGTTGGTGGGCCAAAGTGGATGCGGTAAAAGTACAACAGTGCAGCTAGTGGAGCGGTTTTACGATCCTCTGAGCGGATCAATTGTGAGATTTTAACCTTAGAGCTTTGGTAGTACTTTGATTTTTTGAGAATGAAGACCTACAAACGTGAAAGTCTTGATCATGGGGAGTGAAAAGAGCCCAAGAGTGTGTGTGTCTGTTCTTCTGTCTGTTTGTTTGTCTATCCCACCTGTCTCTCTCTCTCTCTCTCTCTCTCTCTCTCTCTCTCTCTCTCTCTCTCTCTCTCTCTCTCTCTCTCTCTTTGTCTATCCATCTCTGTCTCTGTCCCTGTCTCTGTCTGTCTGTCTGTCTGTCTCTCTCTCTCTCTCTCTCTCTCTCTCTCTCTCTCTCTCTCTCTCTCTTTCTCGCATGCACACACTCACACACACACACACACACACACACACACACACACACACACACACACACACACACACACACACTCTCTCTCTCTCTCTCTCTCTCTCTCTCTCACACACACTCTCTCTCTCTCTCTCTCTCTCTCTCTCTCTCTCTCTCTTTATCTTTATATATCTATCTATCTCTATCTCTCTTTCTTTTTCTCTCTGTATCTATCTATCTATCTCTCTCTCTCTTTCTCTCTGTATCTATCTATCTATCTCTATCTCTCTCTCTCTCTCTTTCTCTCTGTATCTATCTATCTCGCCCTGTTTCGCTTACACAAAGGGGAGAAAGAGGAGGAAGAAAAGAAGGAGAAGGGGGAGGGGTAGAATGAGGAGGAGGAAGTAAACTGGTTTCAGTTTTTATCTTGCGGACTCCGTTTTCTTCCAGCACTTGGGTGATTATGACATACAGAGTTTAAACTTGAAGTGGCTGCGACAGCAAATGGGCCTTGTGTCACAGGAACCTGTCCTGTTTGATCGCAGCATCGCGGAGAACATCGCCTACGGAGACAACAGTCGGGTGGTGCCTCTGGCAGAAATCATAACTGCCGCCCGGTCTGCCAATATACACAATTTTATTCAAGGTTTGCCTTTGGTAAGTCATGGAATCTTCTTTCTTTTAGTTTGTTTCAGGATTCTAATAATATTTTTGTAGCCACAGCCGACCTTCAAAGGATAGAAAAAACTTACAGTGCACAAGTATACTACGATAAAGATCCTGTAAAAATCTTGCCCAATAGTCTTTTAACTAACGTACTTATAAAGAATGTTTTTAGAATGGATATTCGATGGCTACTTCTTGGGGTGTTCTTTAATTGGACAAGTTAGACGTAGCTGAGCTAGGGTTTTATGCCACAGAAGCCGTGGAGGACACGCTGAAGTTTAAAATCACAATCTCATTATGTATTTTCTAAAGCCTACTTGTGATGGCTAAACTAAATAATACAATGAAATATCTTTTTAAAAACATTTTTTGCTGTTATTTAAGGGCTACGATACAATGGTCGGATCTAAGGGCACTCAACTCAGCGGTGGCCAGAAACAAAGAGTCGCAATCGCCAGAGCCTTGGTCAGAAACCCCAAAATATTGCTACTTGACGAAGCCACGTCAGCACTGGACACAGAGAGTGAGCAGGTAAAGTAAACACACCACGACAGTAGCTGACAGCCAAAAAAAAAGGCGATTTGGGTATCCAAAACCGATTTTTCGATTTTTGACTATTTTAGTAGAGCAATATATCTGCTTTATCGATTGGAAATATTTTCAAGTGTCTAAAACATCTATAAAGTGCTCACATATGCCATGTTTGTGAACATTTGTTGAAATAGACCAGTATGAATTCGGGGTTTTTTCAGTTTTTTCAAAACTATGATTTACTTAGAGGGTGGATCACCTGTGCAGAGATATGTCTGAAAGTACATGTCACAGCTCAATCTCACTTTGCATGACTGTTTCTAGATAATATGTTTGCAACGTACTTAAAGATCATTGCGATGTTTTAAGTTTTCTGTCAGTGTAAAAAAAGATTGACAGTATCACTCTGATTTGTGGTCAATTTTTTGTCCGAGTATCGTATATGACACTAAAAGGGCAGTTACAAGAAAAGTATGGGACTTAGGAAAGTAAACCTTTAGTACGTTGCAGGTTGTATGTACAGAAACACTGTGTTAAAATATCAAGGCTGTATCAATTCAATCTTTTCCAGAATCCCTGGACAGAATTTGAGCGATTTTTGGTCTGTCGAACCTTTTGCATCTGAAGAATTCAGAAAATTTTCAGTGAAATCATATGTAGTGTGTTTCTGTTTTTTTACCCATATCGGTTATTTGGAAGCAAGCCCAGTATACTTAATTTAGAGCCCAAACAAAAATTTTCACTTCAGTTGTACCTAGTGTCCCTTAAAACTCCCCCAAAACAATCCAAATTCAAAAACTCCCACAAAACAATCCAAATTCGAAAACAACACTTTAGGCATTCGAACCAGACTAATCCGCACAATGGTCCAGAGAAACACCGTCTGAACCGACAGTGTAGCAGCCGGTCTCGCGAGTCCTTCTATTTGAAGAAATGAAACTCCGACTTTACCTAAAGTTTTTCCAATATTTCCCAGGTCGTACAAGAAGCCCTGGACAAAGCCAGAGAGGGACGCACATGCATTGTGATTGCTCACAGACTAAGCACGATCAAGCACGCGGACAAAATTGTCGTGTTCAGTGAAGGGAAAATGGTGGAGGAAGGCTCGCACGCCCAGCTCATGGCCAGGCACGGAGTCTACTACAAAATGTGTAAAACTTAAAAGTGACACATAATCATGAGTTTTTTTGTTTTTTTTTATTTTAATACAATAATGTTTTTATTCTTTTTTTCTGTAAAGTGTTTTACGATGTTCGCAACTGCATGAAATGATAATATGAGAGCGCGGGACAATTTTTCAGGTGCTGGGAAATTTTGAATTTTGCCGTGGTGGCGCCGAAGCCTACTCTTATCGGTTTTAGGACCACCAGACCACCAAGGGATCATAAACGTGCGGAACTTACACATAGGACCTCCGAGATTTTCCCTGTTATCCGAGAAGACTAGGTGTTAGATCTTATTACCATAAGGGGTGTGGCTGAAAGACAGAGCAGTGAAGAGGAGCCGAGGAGTAGCAGTAGAAAGGCTGCAGAAAGAGTCAGGAGCCCAGGGGAGGGGGCAGAAAAAGGAGACGAAAGCAGACGACAGAGTATGGCTAGAGAGCAGGAAACTGAAAGGAGGTGAAAGGAGAATATTTTAGAGAAAAAACATTTTCCGTCGCTGTCCGGATTCGAACCAAAAACCTATTGAATGAGAGCAATGAGTGGCAAACACCATTACTTCAATATCACGAGAGCCCCCTGCAATGATTATTAATAGTACGGAACTTCTTTTCATCATAAGTAATATTTTTGCCCTGCGCAAATCGACACGATGTGTTACTGAAAACAACGACAATTTCACTATTTTCACGCCTACGATCATATTTTCTCCTCACTGAACACTTTTTTTCCGTACTTTCAAACCCCTAGAAAAGTGTATTTTAAAAGAAAGCTTTACTATTTTTTTTGTCAAAGCCAAAAAATGCAAATTTTAATATATGCAATAACATGAAATCTTTGTCAAACATACTACTATCATAGTATGTAGTAGTTTTTTTCTTCGTTCTTTGAATAAACCTGTATATTTTCACTGGTAGAAGCGATTGCTTGACAAGCCTAAAGCACCTTCTAAAAAAGTATCTCCCACCCATGGTGGATACGCCTATGAACAGCTTTCAGTTGCTAAATTATGTCTTCGTTCCCCGCTTTGAATTAACTACTTAACGTGTAGAATATAAGACAGGTAAATAAAAGGCTGTATGCAAAAAGCAGGCCAAATTGCAACAACAGCGCAAAAAAATGTGTGGGAACGATAAATTGAACAAGCTTTTATTAATTATTAATGTATCTAAATTCAAATAGGTTCTGTGCCTTTATTTCTTTTTTAAAAATCAATAATGATGGATTAGTATGGAAAAAACTGGTTCTTGCCTTTTCTTGTAATAAAGTTGTTAAGTTCAATAGCTTTTATTTTATACAATTGTGTTTAATAATATAATAATAATTTATTTTTAATAGTTTCATTCTTTTGTCCACGTGCGCACTCTTACATGGCACGCGCGCGCGCGCATACACACACACACACACACACACACACACATACACACACTCTCACACACACACACACACACACTTACCCCCCCCCCCCTCCCCCACCACACATAATACACACAAATAGGAGCCCACGCGCCAATACATAAACACAAGCTACACTCATCCTTACCCCATGTTATACGCACCCTTAACTTACTGTGAGAAAATAATTTTAACATGCTTACCCATTTTCCTATTTTCTAGAGAAAACACCGATAGAATACATATAGGATAAGAGACAAGCAATATTTGAGTCGCTACTGACCAACGAGATGTAAATAGAAAACATGATGTTTTGTGCTTGCACTGTATCTCATGGACTTACTTACCCTTTCCTCGCACAAGTAGTTTACAGATGTCTAGGTGAAGGTAAATTTCGACTCCCATTCTAAAAATAACCAAAGAAGAGTGTCTTTCACGCGTGGCGTCAGGTGACCTAAATGTGGCTCCGGGGAGAATGGAAACTCCGGATGACGGTTATAGGCCAGGTAAGTTCCGAATGGGGGGGGCTACAGTTTGCTTATTATATCGATGTAATACCCCTGATTGATTCAACATCACTTTCTTGAGAATGATCAAATGGTTTGGATAACCATGTATACCAGGTATGGGAAAACTACGACCCGTGGCCCATATCCGGCCAGGGAGCAGTTTCAGTCTTGAATGTGAGTCGATCCAGTAATTAATACTATGTATCTTTTAAAAGACTTTCCGACTTGAACATTTAAGTCAATAGTTCCTGGCCCTGCAGGAACCACATGATCAATAAATTATAGTATATAATTTCAACAAATGAAACATCCTTTGGGGATGTAATACGCTATAGAGTCATTTTTTAGAGTTTGGGTATTTAAAACAATTTCACCCAACTTGTACCTGTTTTGTTGGCCCGAAAGATGTTCAGAATCATTTAATCCGACCCTCGACTTGGACACGCTTATACGTGCCTGATGTATACACTAATTGGTGGAATGGGGTGAATAGTTCGGGGTTCTTCCCTACTTGTCTGAAGTGTGTCGTCATTTCCCCTTTCTGTTCTCATCTCGCTTGACAGAGCCAAACATTACTGACGTCTGTGGTGTAGCGGTTACGTTCTTTGCCATCGAACGTGGAAGACCCAAGTTTGGTTCACGTCACGCCGTATATGGAGGATTTTTATTGAGTACCTCGGTCTTTCTGTTGGGATGTTGAATTCCTCTCATCCCGAGACTGCCCCGACGGACAGGTTCGAGGCCCGCTTCTTAAATGATCAAAATACACTGAAATAATTATGTCGATGGGGGTGCAAGAGCACCTTCATTAATTAAAAAAGAAGTAAACAAAATAGATAGCATTTATTTAGCGCAAATCTCCGCTCAACAGCAAGCTCTATTCGCTTCACAATCTATACTATTACCCCAGCAGACCTGAGAACATTCTGAAACAACTTCAACTTCCTGGGAAGCATACAGTGTAAGCGGCCATTTATACCTACAACTACATAGTACATGACCAATGTGCACTTTGAAGGCTGAACACTGGGTTCGAAAGCAGGGTAAAACATTAATAAAGTAGGCCACCAGCAAGTAGTAGAGTCAGCGGCTGTGAAATTCATCGAGGCTTGAGAACACACCCCACCCCCCCACCCCCCACACACACACAATATCGCACTAGCTTTTCGCCTCATCGATTCACATACGTGTTACCATGAAAGTTCATAATGTATCGGGTTGTGCAATATCAACACTTGGTTGAATTGCTCCATTCTTGGCAATACGATTTGTCCCCAATCGGTTCGCATCAGATACGAATCGAGCATTTTGAGAGGACAGCAGAGGTAGCTGTTGAGGTTTTGCTCGCTCTCATACAGTCTCTGACACAAAGATGCAAACGCACACGTAGGAACACGAACATTATACACACTGTATACTACTTTAAAAAAAGGTTAAGGACCACTTAAAGTCACACATAGTACATGAAACTGAAAAACTTGACACGGTTCAAATTTTTTTAGATGGGTCTTTATTCATCATATCACCTTTTGCAAACGACATTTTGCACATTAAAAAAAACAGAAAATGGGTAATTTCAGATGTTGAAGGAGGTAACCCATGATTTTTTAATTCACATCAAAACAGTCATAAACAATTACTTCAATTAGGGCCCAAAATCGCGTGTGGCCACCATTTGCAAGAAAACAGTCATTGCATCTTTGCCTCATGGACTGAATAAGTGTTCGCAATGTTAGTTGTGAAATGGTTTGCCATTCTTGGTCCAAAATGTTAAAGAGTTCATCCACATTGTTTGGGAGTGACTGATGGTCTCTTACTCGGCGCCCAAGAGCATCTCACAAGTGTTTAATTTCAATGGGACTAAGGTCCGGTGATCGGGCTGGCCAGTCAAGCCTGATCACGAGCTGTTGCTGCAGGAAGTCATCCACCACTCGAGGGCGGTGAGGTCTGGCTTTGTCGTCCTGGAGTATAGTGCCCTAGCCCATTACCCGAAGAGCTGGAATTGCAATGCGGCGGAGAATCTCGTCCCTGTAGCGGATACCCGCCAGAGTGCCTTGAATGCGATTAAGGGGGGTCCGGTGGTTGAGTCCAATCCCACCCCTCACCACAACGGAGCCTCCTCCATCATCGGTCATGTTCCTTACACAGTCATCGTGGAAGCGCTCACCAGGACGCCTCCAAACACGGATCCTGCCATCGTTGAAGGACAATGTGAACCTGGACTCATCAGTGAAGAGCACAGTAGACCACTGTGGGCGTGTCCACCTCAAGTGCTGGGCGGACCAGGTTCTGCGGGCAATCCGGTGGGCCTGTGTCAGTGGAACTACTGGAACCCGGACTGCTGGTCGTCTGGAGCGTAGACCAATCTCACGCAGCCGGTTTCTAATGGTCTGGTCGCTGATTCCAACGTTGCCTGGAGGTACCACCTGCTGTCTGATGTGACGGGCAGTGCAGGTTCGAGTTGCCAGGGCTGTTCTGGCGATCGCCCGGTCCTCTCGTCGTGTGGTGCAACGTGGTCGTCCGGACCGCCTTCTCTCAACAGCAGTTCCAGTTGCAGCAACCCGGTCTCTCAGTCTGATGATCACTGAGTGACTCACAGCAAGCCGTCTTGCCACTTCACGGACAGCAATCCCTTCGTGGAGCTAGTCCTCTGTCGATGTTGCTCAGACGTCTTCTTGGAGGCATTGTTAAAAATCGCTTAATGTGCCCGTAATAAATACCCCTTGCACCGTCAAACCCACTCAGGCATTAGTGTAGGAAGCGTGAATTTCCCCCGAGTTCATGTGAGTTCACGTGAGTGATTGTCAAAAACAGGTTCAATTTTACAGAAAATTGGCCCCCTTTCACTTTCACTCGGTCTAGGCAGCGTAAATTATACGTGTCAAATCTGTTCATCGTTGTAAACACGAAGATGACCCTTCCTTACAAAGTTACAATGACATCAACTCACTCACCTAACTTCTCAATATTTGTTCGTCACACAGTCTCAAACATACTATAGTGAAAACTGTAGTGGTCCCTAACTTGTTTTGAGTAGTATATTATTTATTATACCGATATAATATACGAATATATAGTATGTATAGATAGAAAGATATTTTTCATTCAGCGGACTTAAA